TGGCCGGTGGACATGGGCACGACGTGACGCGGGGCCATGGTGAGCCGGGCACGGCCGCATGGGCAGGGAGCTCCAGGCTGTGCCGGGAAACCAGCAGGACTGGATTAAAAGGCTCGGGAAGGTAACTCCTCCTTCCCGGGATGACGGGGTTCGGCCAGGGGACCCTGGTTCCACCTCCATCCCAAGATGAAGGTGATAGGGCAGCCCTGGGGCGGCTCCAGCGGGGACACCCGGCTGACAGCCAGCCCTGCTGGATGCTCCTCAGAGAGGCTTTGGGGTTCATTCCCTTCTTTTTGTTCCTTCCCAGCTCCATCCCAAACCCCTCAGCTCATGCATTAAACATCCCCGCTCCCCGGCAGCGCAGGGCGGTTGTTTGGGGTTATTACAGCGCTGTCATTAAAACCGGGCATTTTCTTTAAAACACCCCAAATTTTCCAGCCGGGCTCTCTCTGGGTGAGTCACGGCCCCGGCTGCAGCAGCAGCAGCTGGGCCATGCCTGAGTACAGCTGAACAAAGGGAAATGTTTGCTCAGGTCGGTCCTTCCCATCCCAACCATCCCGAGGACGGGAGGGACGGGCAGGGAGAACTGGTTATGGGGCAGGCGGGGAAGGGGAAAAACACCAACAGCCAACAACCGGAGGCTTCCCAAGGAAACTCCGACTGCTCCGTGCCTCGCTTGGACCTCGAGCTTCGGGGGAATGGAGGGTTTCCAGGCTGAGATCCCACGGGAAAAATCTCCTTTGTGGAAGCGGCAGATATCCATCGCTCCCCGGGCCATCCCATCCCGGAGGATTTCCCTGCCTGCGAGCCGGGAAACCCGGCTGGAGCAGGAGGGAGGGAGCCCTGCCTGCGGGGATGGAGGCAGCAGCTCCACAGGGTCCCTTTATATCTAGTATTATATTCTAAAACTTTAAATTTTAAGTTTTCTGCTCGGTGGTGTTACACACTTTTAATTAACAACACACTCGTAATCCCAGCGTTATCAATCAATCTTGGAAGCTTTATTTACAGCTTTAGGTTAAATGCAATGTTTTCTTGAGTGAAAATCTGTTAGCACAAAGGTTTAAGATTCTCAGCATCTAAAACCCCGGTATCTCATGGCTCTGGGAATGGGGCGGGATGTGCCGGGGACAGGGAATGGGAAGGAGAGGGATGGAAGGGCCAAAGCCCCGTGGGCAGCAGGAGAGGGCCCAGGGGAGCCGGAGCCGCCACGGAACGTCCTCAGCTGCGGGAGCGGGGAATTCCCTGGGGGATCAGACTGCGGGGATGGGCCCAGGCAGGCTCCAGGACGGGGATCCGGGATGGGGATCCGGGATGGGGATCCGGGAAAGGGATCCGGGTAAGGGATCTGGGAAAGGGATCTGGGAAAGGGATCTGGGAAAGGGATCCAGGACAGGGATCTGGGATGGGGATCTGGGAAAGGGATACTGGATGGGGATCTGGGAAAGGGATCCGGGTAAGGGATCTGGGAAAGGGATCCAGGAAAGGGATCCGGGAAAGGGATCCAGGAAAGGGATCCGGGAAAGGGATCCGGGAAAGGGATCCGGGAAAGGGATCCGGGAAAGGGATCCGGGATGGGGATCTGGGAAAGGGATCCGGGAAAGGGATCTTGGAAAGGGATCCTGGAAAGGGATCTGGGATGGGGATCTGGGAAAGGGATCTGGGAAAGGGATCTGGGAAAGGGATCTTGGAAAGGGATCTGGGAAAGGGATCCAGGAAAGGGATCCGGGAAAGGGATCCGGATAAGGGATCCAGGATGGGGATCTGGGAAAGGGATCCTGAAAAGGGATCTGGGAAAGGGATCCAGGAAAGGGATCCTGAAAAGGGATCCAGGAAGGAGCTCCGGGAAAGGGATCCAGTAAAGAGATCCGGGAAAGAGATCCGGGAAAGGGATCCAGGAAAGGAATCCCTCTCACTTTAAGCGCAGCAAGCACCCCCAGGTCCATGTCTCGTACCCCAGAGCAGCTTCAGGAATTGGAGGAACCCGGAGGAGCAGCCAGGATGCTCCAGCAGGGAATGCTGGTGGCCTTTCCAGGCTCTCCCAGGCCTCGCTCGCTGGAGATTTTGGCTAAAAACCCATTTTCCACCCAAACTCCTGCTGGGAATGGCGTTGGCTCTCCGGGGTTCCTGGAGAGCACAAGCCCTGGTGGATCCCAGGATGGTGGGGTGGCCCCAGAGCAGCGTCCCCCAGAGCCACAGGCCCAGCTCCCCACTGGAGGCTGCTGGTTGTACTGGTTTGTACTGGGCAGGGGCTGTGCCCCGAGCCTGCTCAGCTGGTCTGGGCTGGGATAGACGGGAGAACATCTGGGATGGACGGGAGCACACCTGGGATGGACAGGAACACACCTGGGATGGACGGGAGCACATCTGGGATGGACAGGAGCACACCTGGGCTGAGGGATGGACAGGAGCACACCTGGGATGGACGGGAGCACACCTGGGATGGACAGGAGCACACCTGGGATGGACGGGAGAACATCTGGGATGGACGGGAGCACACCTGGGATGGACGGGAGCACACCTGGGATGGACGGGAGAACATCTGGGATGGACGGGAGCACACCTGGGCTGAGGGATGGACAGGAGCACACCTGGGATGGACAGGAGCACACCTGGGATAGGACAGGAGCAAGCCTGGGATGGGGCAGGAGCACACCTGGGATAGGACAGGAGCACACCTGGGATGGGGCAGGAGCACACCTGGGATGGACAGGAGCACACCTGGGGATGGACAGGAGCACACCTGGGAGGGGCAGGAGCACACCTAGGATGGGACAGGAGCACACCTGGGGATGGGACAGGAGCACACCTGGGATGGATGGGAGCACACCTGGGGATGGACAGGAGCACACCTGGGATGGATGGGAGCACACCTGGGATGGGACAGGAGCACACCTGGGATGGACGGGAGCACACCTGGGGATGGACAGGAGCACACCTAGGATGGGACAGGAGCACACCTGGGATGGACAGGAGCACACCTAGGATGGGACAGGAGCACACCTAGGATGGGACAGGAGCACACCTGGGGATGGGACAGGAGCACACCTGGGATGGACAGGAGCACACCTAGGATGGGACAGGAGCAAGCCTGGGATGGGGCAGGAGCACACCTGGGATGGACAGGAGCACACCTGGGGATGGACAGGAGCACACCTGGGAGGGGCAGGAGCACACCTGGGATGGGACGGGAGCACATCTGGGATGGACAGGAGCACACCTGGGCTGAGGGATGGACAGGAGCACACCTGGGATGGACAGGAGCACACCTGGGATGGATGGGAGCACACCTGGGATGGACAGGAGCACACCTGGGCTGAGGGATGGACAGGAGCACACCTGGGATGGACGGGAGCACACCTGGGATGGGCAGGAGCACACCTAGGATGGACGGGAGCACACCTGGGATGGGCAGGAGCACACCTGGGATGGGCAGGAGCACACCTGGGCTGCACAGCACGATTGGGGGGCTCTGTCATCCTCAGGCAGGGGAGCTGGGACAGCTGTGCCCCCCAAAATCCAGCGGGATCGCAGCCCTGGGCACGGAGGGTCCCAACCTTTCCG